GTGGCCGGGAGCGGCCAACTGCAGTCCAGTCTGGGCGACAGAGTGAGACTCCAACTCAAAAAAAATTTTTAAAATATTAAAAATCCATTTTAAAATCCATTAATCCACTGATAGATACTTTGGTCCGTGTCTATTCATATCTTTTGCTCATTTTTAATTGATTTTTTTAACTATTGAGTTGTGTGAGTTCCTTATATATTCTGCTTATTAAAATCTCTAGGCCAGGCTCAGTGGCTAAGCCTGTAATCCCACGCTTTGGAAGGCTGAGGTGACTGGATTGCCTGAACCCGCGGGTTTGAGACCCATCCAGGAAACTTGGCAAGACCTGGTCTCTACAATAAATCAAAAATTAGCCAGGCGTGGCAGCACGTGCCTGTAGTTCCGGCTACTTGTAAGGCTGAGGCAGAAGGATCGCTGGAGCCCAGCAGGTTGAGGTTGCAGTAGCTGTGAACGTGTCACCGCACTCCAACCCAGGGGACAGAGTGAGATTTGGACTCAAAAAAAAAAAAGAATATCTGGGAAAGAGCATCCCAGACAGAGGGAACAGAAAGAGGAAAGGCAGCATATTCAAGGGGCAGCCAGCATGGCATAAGTGAGTAAACAAACACAGAAACACAGGAGGTGTGTAAGGTAAACCACTCATAAATATGAGCATCTAATGGGTAGGGACTGATATTCACAGGATGATCAAGTTCAGTGTAATATACAACACAAAAAACCTATTTTAAATTATGTTTCTTCTTCACTCCAGTTACCTTTAGGTAAATCACTTCAATAAGAGTACTTAACACCCTGCTATTCAGACTCTTAAGAGATTTAAATTCTTCTTTTAAAGATCAAATAGACTTCAAGGAACACTTGCCAGATAAAATAAAACAGGAATCTTAAGAGAATGCTTGGATCAGGATATGCCAATATTTCTGGAATCAAAATACCAACCTACCAACCTAATACTTTAGTCAAAAACATTATACTTAATATACCTAATATTAAAACTTGAAAAAAATACACACTGGTAGCAGTTCGGTGTCGTCTATTTATTTGAATTCCCAATAAACCCCACCAAACCTTTTAGGATATAAGTTTAAAATAATACAGCTTTATCATATGATTAAAATAACCTCATATCAAATTCTAAGAAAAGCAGTACTGAGTGCACAAAGAATGTGTATCCTTTTCAAACTATGGCAGCAAATTCTATTTCCAAGAGAAAACCTGAGTGCTTCTTGCATGGATAAACAAGTAAACAAAAAAGAACTATAAATTAAATTATATTATAAAAATAAAATAGTTGGGAAAATTAGATTCATGTGGAAAAGGGATGTTGTTAAGGTATTTGGCAGTAATGGGTGTTTTCTAGGGCTTTCTAGCCTAAAGAAACCATGCTTTGGTCAGGCACGGTGGCTCACGCCTGCAATTCCAGTACTTTGGGAGGCTGAGGTGGGAGGATTGCATGAACCCAGGAGTTCAAGACCAGCCTAAGCAACATAGTGAGACCTCAACTCTACAAAAAATTTTTTAAATAAGCCAGTGTGGTGGTATGCACCTGTAGTCCCAGTTATTTGGGAGGCTGAGGTTGATGGAAGGATCACCTGAGCCCAGAAGGTCGACTCTGCAGTGGCTGTGGCAGTGCCACTGTACTCCAGCTTGGGTGACAGTGAGACTCTGACTCAAACAAACAAACAAACCATGCTTAGAGGAAATGGCTCCTTTGAACGTCTGGAAAGAAACTTAGGATCATGAAGCACTCAGTTCCTGTGTCATCAACAGATTTTTTTTTTAAGTCAAAGCATTCATTAATGTTGTCAAACTTCCATGAGATTTAAGAATAAATAAATTAATCCTCTTTGCCCATAACTTAACAAAAGGAAATGCACTTACATCTTTCAGCTGTATCTCCATTTCATGATTATTCATTGATGAGTTGAAGCAGTTTGCTGCTGCAGTCTGCAAATAATCCAGTTAGTCAACATCAGATATTTAACACCTTTCCTCACTACATTCAGTTCCATAACAATACACACTTCACAGGGACATCCTAAAACCCAGATCCCTAACAAGTTGGTGAGCTGTCAAACTGTAGCGGGAAGACAGAGAGGCCCTGACACTGAGGCTATTTTAGGAAGAAGCAGTTTTATTAGCACCGGAGCGACTCAGTCAGTGGGCTAACGTTCCCAGGCTGAGCACCCTGGGGAGGGAGGAGAGGGGTCTTATACCTTGGAATTTACAAGGTTGTACTCAGCAAAACCAGATTTTCAAAAGAAGAAGTGGTCTCCAGGATATGCATAACAAGCAGGGGTTGTAAACTGATAACTTTACAAAGAGAGGATTTGGGTTAAGGTTGTCTAGCAGGTTTTTGGAGCTTGCAGATTGATCTTTTTTTTTTTTTTGAGTTAGAGTCTCTCTGTTGCCCAGACTGGAGTGCAGTGGCCGCTCCAGGCCACCGCAGCCTCGACCTGCTTCAGCGATCCTTCCACCTCAGCCTTCCAGGTAGCTGGAACTACAGGCACACGCTACCACGCCCAGTTAATTTTTTTGATTTATTGTAGAGATGAGGTCTCACCTGCCCAGGTGGATCTCGAACCTGCGGACTCAGGCAACCACTCACCTCAGCACAGATTGATCTTTAAAAGGAATACTTTTAACTGTTATTAGCCCCTCTCTGCCACAAAACCACGTGATGGCTATCAGAGGTCACCACTGTTAAATTAAGATTCTCTAGAAGCTCCCCAAGCAGATTGGAACCCTGAAACTCCAGATCTAAGCTGATTCTAAGGTCCTCGGAACCCCGGATTGCCAGAGAAGCCCTCTGTGCATATGAATAGCCCAGGGGTTTTCACCAAAACAAATGAGCTGCTTGGACGAAATTAAATTGTCAAACAAAAGATAAAATTGTTCTAGAATTATACTGTGTATAGTAATGGTATCAATTAGTATTAGTTCATATAGATTATAAGGAATCCAAAACATAACTTCTCTCTTCATTTTTCCATTTTCTCATAGGAAAAAAAAAGAGGGGTGGCTGGGTACCCAGGCTGGCCACCAAACTCAGGGAAAGGTATTTCAGTCTTTTAACAGCTGCAAGGAAAGAGGCTTGTGTGAACGCTGGAAAGGAAGCTAAAACCCTTTTCTCCCAAGATGCTCCGTTCACTCGCCCTTTCTCTCAACTGGGTCCTCTGAGTGAAAACTCTGCCAGAGTAGCTCATTGATGGCCTTTCCTCTTTGCCCCTGGCCATGCTGCAGCCCATGCTTCCCAGACTGCCCTGTGGTAAGGGCAGTCATGGGCCCGAGTTCTGTCCAGTGGAACGTGAGCAAAAGTGGATATGCCAATACTGGGCCTGGCCCTGGATACCCCCTAGGCAATTTCCATATATTCTCTATCTCACAGCTGTAGAAAGAGGAAGACATAAAGGGCAGTGGAGCCAAGAGAAGGAAGGAAACTAAGCCAGGTGCAGAGGCTTGCACTTGTCATCCCAGCAACTCAGGAGGCTGAGGCAGGAGGATCACACGCTAAGGCCAGGAGTTCAATACCAGCCTGAACAACATAGCGAGACCTCATCTCTAAGAAAACAGAAAACAATGAGCCCAGTGTAGGGGCATGTGTCTGTAGTCCTAGCTACTCAGGAGGCTGAGGTGGGAGGATTGCTTAAGCACAGATGTTCAGTGAGCCATGAATACCCACTGCACTCCAGCCTGGGCAACAGAGTGAGAGTCTGTCTCTAAAATAAAATAAAACTTTAAAAGTGGAGAAACGGGCCGGGCTCGGTGGCTCAGCCTGTAATCCCAGCACTTTGGGAGGCCAAGGTGAGTGGAATGCCTGAGCCCGCGGGTCCGAGACCCGCCTGGGCAACTTGGTGAGACCTCATCTCTA